TCAATCTCCTCCTTGGTGGCTTCATCTTCAGTCTCCATGACATGACTTCCTTCCACCGATATTTGTGGCTCACCCCCCTCCAAAAACTCCGACCTGAGTCCAGATGTATTGACGGCTTGGAAGTTGGCCTCAATCCATTCCACCACCTCAGTATAGGCAAACCTTCACCAGTAAGCACCAAAACTTTGGTATGCCTCCGTTAGGTGGAAGTTGGTAATGTATCTTTTTTCTATCTCACCATCAGCAGCCTCAGCCTCCTTCCTCACCATCTCAACCTCCTCCACTAAACCAGAGATCCAAAAATTCAGCTCTCCCACCTGCTGCTTCAGAGAAGCATTCTATTTATTGTCCAACTCCAAGGCCTCAGTAGCAATTCTCTAATGGGCGTTAGAAGTCTCCACCCGCTTTATCAGTGTGGCCACCTCGCTTGAGACAAGTGGACCTCCTTTTTCAAAGTTTCAATTTCTTCTAAAGCATAAGCGAGCTTCAACAACTCTTCGGCTTTGCTCTTCTTCAAAGCCTCCACCTCAGACTTAGATTTCATTGCTGCTTCCTCGGTCTCCTTAACCCGAGTCACATATCCACTATTTTTATTCATAAGGTTTTTAGTCAGGGCCTCTGCCTTAATTGCAACCCAAATGGCCTCATCATTTGGCTCACTATCGCTGTAAACATTGCATCACACTCACTGGACTCTACAAAAGACTGCCAACATTCTGTCCAGTACTTATAAAATGTTGCTGAAGCAGTTTGCACCTCCGGAGGTAGCACAGTCATAACCTCTGGAGCTAGCTCGTCGCTCCTGGAAGTTACGGAAAGCTTCAAGCGAGGCGAGGGTTCCGTCGAGGAAGACCCACTGGATGTCTTCCCTTTCTTCGAACTACGACGAGGATCCGCCTCACTGGCCCTTTTTTGGGCCTCCTTACAGCAGTAATCGATGCTGCCATCAATTTTTCCCCAGCAAGATCTTCGAAGTGAGGTACAGGTGGGCTGGCAGCTGACCCATCTACTCCAGTAGTAGAAAAAACTTGCTTTTTTCTTGGGGACCTCCTCTACTTTTCCCTTCCCTTTGTCCAAAGGAGGTTTCCCAGGAACATCTTGGGTAGCAGCCTCCTTGCTGACCTATCAAGCTGATCCTTCACCCGTCTCTCGGCAACAGATGAGGCCTTCACCCCCTTTCTCCCAGCAGTGGAAGTCGCTGCTTAAATAGTGGCCATGTCTGGGGTTGGATGTTTCCTTTTCTCAAAATTTTCTGTCAACCAAACCAATGAGAGCATCAGAATTAAAAATAGAGCTGATAAAATGTGACAATAAAAGCCTACAAAAGGTAAGAAACTACCTCGATCGGCCATCAAATTGAACTCCTCAAAAAATTGCCTCGATACGACGAGCCTCTCAAACTCTCACGATAGTGCCAAATGTAAATAAATGTCCTTGATGAGCTTAAGCCCCGATGAGCTCAGCTCAAACCGATCAACACTTCCTCCAGGGTCAAACAGAAAGAATATCAAATTACATGAATAGTATTATCTGCATAAAACATTCAAAGAATGTCGCTCACTGGCTTCAGAATACGAGGTTGGAACTGTCACATGGGAACAGTGTCACCACCGTACGCCTATCGCTTTTCCCTTGTCCAAAACCATGTCTCCTTCCCCCTTTTAATAGAGTAGTGAAGGCCTATAACAAAGTGAGCATGTGACCCCATGGACAGAGAGAATATCACCCTTTGGAATTTTTTTTTCCTAATGATCTAGGTTGGAACAAGTTTTGAAATACTTGGAGTGGCATGTCCTCATCCAGTGAGGTCTTTTTCCAAAGGAAATACGACCCCACCAGTTGAGCCCACACATTTGGGACAAGCTACGTAGGTGCCAACTCAAACAACCTAAAAATAGCCCTAAAGAATCGGTGCAAAGGAAGGCAAAGCCCTACCTTTAGAAGGAACTCACTGATAGCTACACAACCCGACCTCGGGTAACTGGCTCGCTCATCAAGAAACGGGGCTAGTAGTTCGATATCATATGAATGTGGTATTTTCCCCTTACATTCATTAAGAAATAGGCGTTTGCAATAGATTGAATTTTTTCGACCCCCAACCCTGATCGCCGTCCCTTTCCCCAACTATGGGTAAACAACTCCGACCAGCCATAACGGCTCCAGTCGGGTCGGTAGTACTAGCAAGTTCCACCCCCATCTCAACACCCAACCTTCTTATATCTACCTCTTCAGATGAACCAGATGCCATAATAGTAACAAAAGTTACAAAATTTCTTAGATACTTAAAAAAAACTTACTTTACAAAAGCACAAGTGTTCTCCAAAAATTGAAAATGAAAAATGGCAAAGTGAAGGAGACAGATCAAAGAGAATGCAAGCGACTCAGAAACACAAATGCAAAGCAAAAGTGAAAAATGACTCTCGCCCCCATTCCGTCCTTTTTATAGCCAACCCCATTTAATCATGATCGTCGAATTCAAATGACATAATTCCCTAGCCGTTGATCTGGTAAATTAATCCTATCCATTTGCAAGCCTACCGCTTCCTATTCTAAGGCCCAAATAATGTGGTACTCCCCACGCACCCCACTTCACCTAAGAAATAGACTTGCATGCCTGCAATTGCCACCCATGTGCATTTAATGCGTCGTCAGTTATGTGCATCAGAATGGAAACCGTCACCAGCTGTCCTATCCAGAGATAAACAAAAATAGCTAATCATTACAACACAACGCTCAAGACCCTTCATATATTCCCATGCTGGCCTATCCAACCCCTCTTTGTGACACTTACAATCTCGAAAACAGTACTACGCAAAAGTACCTCGGCCTATTTCTTAAAGAGCTTTGACTCTAATATGAAAGCACCTCAATTGATCCCCCTTGAAAGTCCCAAACTAAACTGGGGTACTATAATCTCAAAATTCAACGTCACCACCCTCTCACAAATTCTAATTCCCACATCAATGTTGGTAAAATAGACTTGGAGAACTAATATCTATCAGGAATTTCTATTCTTGGAATTTTGCTTGGAAACTTCGGTATTAATTACAAATTTTATGTACCACATAAATGATCGAACATAGACTTGATGGACTATTATTACTAGTCAATACAGAAAGGTCTACGTGGAGACCTCATATGCATACACATGGCGAGCACCCAAGAATTGGTGCAGAAAGGACTAAGGTCTGAAGCTGTCAAAGGAATTGCCGAGGTCATTGCACTAAATTAATCCCAGGTGGTTCACCTTCTGCCGCTGAACTACTCTACTACCCGAAGTCCTTGACAAATAGAAGAGCGTCGAACAAGCACGTCTCCAGAGTTGACTGATATGATGTGCATAGAAAATAAGTGTCAAGAATGTCAGCGTAGCTTATAGAGTGGCTGACATCTTGTCAAAAGTCTATCAATGTAATTAATAGCTGACAGAATTGATGTAACATTTAGGGCTGGCAGATCAGGCCATGTGGATCCAATCTTACGGTTACCACATCAGCCTGATCACTATAAATAGGAAATTATTGTATCAATTGAGAGATCTTGAAAAAATACAGTGAAGAGAATAATATACTTGCGTTGTCCATTATTCACCTTCTTCCACAAACATTCATATTTACATTAGAAATACTAAATAATACGTCCATGTGTATATTATCTTGTATCAAATTCAGTCGACCATTTTCGAAGGTCAACACGTTACCCAAACATTTCATGATTATTCACGATATTTGATACCCAAAGAAAAGGGAAAAATTCACCTAAAATCTGATTACTTAGACATTAACACGTTTACATAAGGAAAAGAGAAGAAAACTAAGAGGGATACAAAGTATAAGTTTAATTATTTAGTAGTATAGTTTGATGTTTTTAAATTCAATCGGTTCCACGGTAATTTATTAATTAGTGTAGGTTATTAATTTTTAAAACAATTATTAAAACATCATTTAATGTATATTTGCTAATATCACTACATATTTGAAGGTAGTAGGAAATTTTCATCATACTAATTTAGTTTTATAATGTTCTCTTAAATTTATAAGAGAGAAAAACTTCAAAGAAGAAATGTATCTTTTTCTTTTGATCTTTTCTTGATTGTTAGTTTTGAAGCACCAAGTTCTTGAAATCAAAATCTTTCGTAATTGAAGAAAGTTGGAAGTTCAAATTCAAATTCGGACCAAGATTTGATTACTGAGTTTAAATAAATTCTTAATCTAAATTTCTTGTTTGTATTTTACACGTGAACACGTAGTTATTAAATTCGGCCCGGCCTAGTAAACCTGTGACCCAAGCATTGGGTCGGGTCGGACAATATCCTATTATACAAATGCAATTGACCCGGTCAAAAATCAAATTTGACTGGGTCAATTAGTTGGTTTCATACAATTTTCGGGCAAGATCGGCCCGATTGATTTTGAAACCAAATTTTAAAATTTTTTACATTGAAATTTTAGGGACCAAAGATTTGAACACTTGACCTATGACCAACTAGAGGTTAAATTTACCACTAGAGCATCCAACACTTTATTGTCTTTTGTGGGATATAAAATATATTTACCCAATGACAAACTTGCTATCTTCCGAAATCATTTTTAAAAAAAAATTAGTTTAAATTTTCACTCATTTGTAATATCAAATAATTATTTTATATACTATTTTATTTTTAAAAAAATTAACTACAATAAATTTAATAGATAATACACAGAAATTTTTTATCAATAACTAACAAAAGGGTAAAATATACTTTTTTAATATTATATGCAAAATTATAAAATCAAATGTAATCATTATCACTAATGAATGAGTTCAAAAAATCATTAATTTGAAGGTATAAAAATAAATAGCGACTAAGAACTTGAAAATTTTAATTGTCTCAAACAAAAAATATATAAATATAAAATTATACTTTAAAAACAATACAATATTTCTAAATAATGGCCCACCGGTCTGACCACTAGTTCACCGATCCGACCAGTAATTCGATTGCCCAATACTTTGACCAGGTTAAGTCTAATAACTATGCGTGAACATATAGTAACGATCTCGTATTCTTAAATTAAAGAAAATTTTTATATTCCAGGTAATTCTTGTTTAGCATTTTAACATTAACAACTTACAAATTGCTAGAGAACGAACAATAGAGATAATTGCTTTTGTGCTTGGTCACTAGGAGCCACCAATCACCACGCGATCCCAGAAAGTTTTAATGGGGTCATTGCTCAACTTCATGAATATCAGAGAAAGCGAGTGATAATTCAAAAGTTGAAGGATGTGCTAATTCTCTTGACTGTAAAAACAAGTAGGGTCTAGGTGGGATTTGTAGAGATTTCATGTTCCCTTCTAACATTTCTATAACCCTGCTCATTGATGGTCTAGTCGCAGGATTGGTTTGTATGCACCATAAGCCAACTATTAACATTGTCTTTATCCTCAAATGTTCATTTGCATTCACAATGAAATTCAAATCAAGCTCAGCATTCTGTTCTAGGTTCTTATATAACCAATCAGGAAAATAATTTTCGCTTGAATGATCAACTCTGACATCAATATTTTTCGTCTGTCCAGCCATTTCCAAAATCATCATGCCATAGCTATAGACATCTGACTTATGAGAAACATGTCCAACGCTTCTATAAACTATTTCTGGAGCTATATACCCTATTGTCCCTCTGGCCCCCAGTATTGACACTATACTAGACCTATTGGGGCAAAGCCTTGCCAAACCAAAATCCGATATTTTAGGGTTGAAGTCTTTATCCAGAAGAATGTTATGAGGTTTAATGTCAAAGTGCAAAATCCGCATATTACATCCTTGGTGCAAGTATTCTATTCCATGAGCAATGCCAACTGCAATTTGAAACAATTTTTCCCATCCTAACTGACGTTCTGCTATGGAGCTATTGTGGTTTATGAACTTTTCGAGAGATCCATTGGCCATGAACTCGTAAATGAGAGCTCTTTTGGAACCCTCAAAGCAAAATCCTAGGAGAGTGACAATGTTAACATGGGATGTTCTACTGATGCTTGCAATCTCATTGATAAATTCTTCTCCATTGCCTTTTGATTCTTTCAAAATCTTTACTGCTACAAGACGACCATCGGATAACTTTCCTCTATACACACTAGCAAAGCCCCCTTCTCCTAAGTTGTCACTGAATGAATTAGTCATTTTCTTAAGATCAAAGTAGTTGTATCTTCTTGCTGCAAAATTCTCATTGTTCTTCAAAAAGAGTTCAATGTCCTTATCGTTTTGCGTCTTTTTCTTCAAATTCAGCATGTACTTCCTCTTGTTGAAAGCGAATAAAATTATGGAGAAGAGAACTACCGCTACGACTGAAACACCTATGATGAAAAATGATATCAATACTATTTATAAAGAAAAAAATAGAAAAATGGTACTAAAATTTGGAAGAGTTACCTGCAATCAAAATCAGTTTCAATTTATTTCTTCCTGTAGCTGAAGTCAAAACACGTGTTAGATTAAGAGAACTTTATAAAAATAAGATGGGAACTTATTTTTTCTTAGTATGCTCTCTTTTCAACATATAAATCGCTACAGGGTATAATTCATGAACATGTGATTTCATACAATAGTGGAATAAATTTATCTGGTGTTAAGATTTTATGTCGAATTACCTGTTATAGAAAATCACATAACCATTATAGATTACAATGCTAAAAGACAAAGTGGATTGGACATAGACGTCTGGTGTGGACTAATTTCTTTGAGATGATATTATGACGTGAATGAGGTTTTAGGGAAAAGATTTCTGGGTTGGACTTATTTACATCATAAAATTGGTTCAAAGAAAGTAGTCTACCCCGGGAGTCGATGTCCAATCTAGTTCTAAATTTTATATAGTGCTAACTTTGTCCCCTAGTGGTCCCACAGTCACATATTTGGATTCAAACTAATTAGATGCATCATTTTGGGCTTATGGAAATTCAAATTGAGAATAATAAATATTTAAGGTGTTTGGAAATTACAATTTCAAAATTAAGAAATATGTTATTAAATTTTAAAAATTAGGTCATGATTAAAATTTATTAATTAAATAAATTAGTGAAAATATTTTATTAATTGAATATAATAATGTAATAGTGTTATACAATTTATGATCACGATTATGTACTAATCACAATCGCATAATGTCATGATCACAAATTTTATAGCTCACAAATTATCAAATTAATTGATCACATCTTATTTTTCGATCACAAATCACAAAATTCGTATGTCACAACTTATTTAACAATCACAGATTATCAAATTAATCGATCATAATCACCTAAACTTAGGTAATTATAACATACCTGAATCTGCACTGCAACCCAAGGGACGGGGTCTGTCAGGGCAGAAGCAACGGAACATCAAAGTAGTGGTGTTAAAGCCACATCGGCCGCCCTCTCTCTCACATGTACTGCATTCACTGGATGATGAATAATTCAGTTCAAACCCTCTTCTCAAAATCTTCTTATACTCTCCCACTACAATCCTCTCTTCATCACCATGCACTTCCACCAGTGCCGCCACTATTTTTTCGCAATTTTTCAATCCCTTCTGCAAATTTTCATCCTTATCACAAATTGCTAAATCCAAATTATCTCTTTTCTCACCCGGACAGTCAACCTTGTATCGCAAAAGATCATTAGGCAACGGTTCAATACAATTGGACAAAAAATAAAGACTTGTTGCATTAACATACTGAAACTCTCTAATAGGAAGTGTCGTGTTCCTGATTTGTGGAAGGCATCTGCCGTTTAAATTACTCAAAACAGCAGCATTATAAACACGAAAAGAACGACGAGGATAGGAAATGTTTTCAACTATATAGTCATTTTCTGTTGAACTAATCATTGGATAGCCATGTTTTCCGCACTTGAGATGGAATCCGGGGTAACCGCAGTAGGATTTTTGCAAACCTTCAATATAGAATGGAAATTTAATTTTTGGGCCATTGTCACAATTCTTGGACAAGCATGCATCGTACCGAAAATCAGTAGCAGAAGATTTTCTTGATAAAAGGATAAGACAAAATACACAGATATCTAAAGATGTGAAGAAAACGGTATATTTCATGCTTTGGTGAAGTGAATTCCAAGCTTCAGACACAAATGGTTGGTTTTCTGTGTTTTCCTTGTTTATTAAACTAATAAAGGGTCATTTCAAGAAAGTCGCAAGTATTGACCAATCTGTGAGTCCAGTGTCTGTATAGTGAAATTCTTGAATATTTGTGCAAGGTTTTACTGGTTTTTCATTTTGCGTGTTGGAATATGCAAGAAAGAGGCCATACATCAATTTGTATCTTTGTGCAAGTGGATGGAAAAAATTAAACTGGTCCATTATTCAACCAATTACATTTGTGGACTATATTGCAAGCTGTCCACTGCTGATGGAATGTTTCTACCGTAGTCCATGCGATACTTCTCTCCCTTTATTATGCGTAATTACTACGTTAGGCTGAATATTACGACGACATCGACTTAGTCGCTATCGTTATTGGATATTATTTTTGAGTTAAGAAAGAAGTGTTTAGAAGTACTTAAAAATTAAACTCCCTTTAGATTTTATTTTTCTATATTTCGTGCTATTGGAACTTATTTTGACCTGAAAGATCAATAACCAACATTATGAAACGGAGTCGCAAACACAAGATAATAATTATTATTTATGTTGAAAAAATTAGATGTTGATATTAAATTTGAGGTTTTATCTTAAAATGTTGAGACTTGTTAAAAGGATTAACTCAAGCGCTAGTCCTTATATCTTGATTAGTATTTTTATACTAAATCAACGTGACATTTTACTGTCAATATACTCCTTACAAGATATATAGTAGCTCATTTGAACACACCAATCTTGAAATTCGAATGATCACTCAAACTATAGACAGATTGAATTATTTATTTAAGTTTAATAGACTCTAGTATCATAGTAAGACTTAAAGCTTGATCTGTTAAAGCTGGATAAAACTTAAGCAAACTTTTATAAGATAAGTATTAAGTGTATAATTATAGACGTTCCATCTCAAGGGAATTGATTAAAAAATTCCATGCTTGGATCATATAATAATGTGCATATTGGCAACGTTGATCTATATTTTGTGTATACCAAGTGTTCCACTTTCCTTTAGAAAATGATGTCCAAATTTGGCTAATATATTTTCAAACATTTCATTATTATTCACGATAATTTGATAAATCACCTAAACATTGATTGTCTAGACATTTACACGTTTACTTAAGAAAAGGAAAAGAGAAGAAACCAAGAGGGAAACAAAATAAAAGTCTAATTCTTTCGTGCTACAGTTTTAAACGTAACACAATATGTTGTTCAATAATTAATTTATTAGTTTATAGAATATCTATCATTTTTTTTATTTAATGTGTATTTGCTAATGCCTCTTACATACTTTTAGATAGTTAAAATGTCTTCGATCATGCTAATTTACTCTTATAACGTCCTATGAAATTTAGAGAAGGAGCAACAAATAGTCCATGAAGAAATAATGGATGAAGATCTCATAGCAACAGCAGGTCACAAGACCAACATGAAGAGGATATTAATGATGATCGACTTTTGTATAACAAAGATAAATTACGTGTACTTCACTCATTTATTTCTCTTTTTGACCTTTTAAATTACACTAATGCTGTAATTCATAGGTACTCCAAGGTAAAGAGTTAAAATCATTTTAAAAATTAAAAAAGCCTCTAGATAGATGATTCCCTAAGGAATGTGATTCTGCAAATTAATTTTTTGATTTTTTATATTAATTATCAGATGCAGAAAAAATAAATTACCCCTATAAAAGAAGACCAATTTCATTAAATTTTGAGAAAATTATCAAAATAGTCAACTTTTGGTGTTGCATTTACAAAAATGTCACTTTTTTTTTGACATTACAAGAATGTAAAATTTAGACAATTTTAGACATATTTACCCTTAAAACCAAATTTAAATATCCTATAGGTCCTAATTAAATGAGATTAGACCAATCAAAGAAATTGTACAAAATTTTCAAAGAGTGTCTGACAAAATTGAATTATTGAAAAAAAAAAAAGTAGACAACACGCACCAATCCCCCAAGTCGAAGAACCCTAAATCGCTCGCACACTCTCTCATTTCACTCAATGAAGTGAACGAATCTAAAGAAGAATTCCACTAAATATCAGAAAATTGCCAGCAATAGTTTAGCCATTGTATCTAAACTGCTCGGAATGACGAAATGAAAATCGGCAGAGCAAAATCCACCCAAGGTCCCAAACTCCATTTGAAACCGGCTGAAAAGTGCAAACAGTAAACCCTTAAATTTCCATATTTCAATTCCAAGTAGAAGTAGCTGCTCAGCTGGACGACCGGAGGTGGTGAAGTCTGTGGACTGTGCGTCACTCTCAGTATTCAATCTCACACAGTTCAGGTCTTCTTTTTTATTAATTCAAAGCAATTTTGTGAGCCCTTTTTCAAATAAATTCTGTATTGCTTGTGGGTTATTGTTTTTAAATTAGAAAGAAATGGTTGATGATGTGAAATTGTTGTTGTCTGTGAAAATATATTAAAAGATTATGTTTGTTAACTCTTCTGAATATATTATCCCATATTCGGCAGTTGTTGAAAAGATTATGTTTCCTTTTTTTCAGAAAAAATATATTATTTTAGTTAATTCAACCGTAAGGCATCCAAAATTGGGCTTGGGATTCACCAGACCTTGCAGAAACTATCTAAGCTTGCGAATTGTAAGGCAGGAACTGACATCTTGGTTGATTTTTACCATGTGTTTTTGTGATTGGTTTTCTTCTTGTTCTTCTGTGCTGAAAATGAATGCAGTTTGATCAGATGCTTTGTCTTCCCCTTGAATGACCTGAGATAATGGTAAAATGGATTTAAGTTATCTTTGCATCAGACGACTTTGATGTTTTCCAATGAGGTCCCATATTACTTGATCCTTACTATAAATCTGTAATTGCTAAAAGATGAATCTTATTCAATTTTCAATGAGCTCTTGGTCCTTGATACCTTCTTCCTCTTATTTTGTTTTATTTTTTTAAATTTTTTTGGTGAAGTCCATTCTAGATAAGGTAATGTTCTTTAGGCCTCTTACCTTAACAAAATGGGGAGTTGGCTTTGCCCCATCGCGTAGTATATTGATTGGCTAAAATTTTACAAAGGAGTTGGACTTCAATGAACCTTGCCTTCTTGGAAATATAATAAAATTTAAGGAAAGAAACCTAGTCTATACTTGAGTTATGTTTGCAGGTAAGAGAATAAAGGAACAAGAAACTAAGGCCACTTACATCCTTATGCTTGAGAAACCACATTTATCTATTCTAAGCAATACATTAATCTCAGCAGTTAACTCTTGTTATTGAAAGCTTGAACTTTATATATTTGTATCCCCGTATTAGCTAAATGGTAGGCAAATGTACTGCCTTCTCGCCAAATATGGAAAAACTGAATGTTGAGCCTACTCTCCCAGTGGTGAATTTCTTCTAAATAGTATTGCACTTTCTAAGGTTCATCTATGCCTTCCTTTTTATTTTTATTTATTTATTTTACATTGGAAAAGTGAATCAATCTCTGCCCATATTTGGGCTGTATCCAAATTGATCGCATAGCTTAAGAAGAACATGAGCCATAGAAGTCATAACATGCAAGGAGAACTTTACCTACATGATTCTTATCACACCCCCACCTGCAGCTAGATTTGATTTCCCTTTGAGACATTCATCAGAGTTTAGTTTGACAACATCAATAGAAGGTTAATGGACTAAAATTAATTGAATTTGATGAGTCTTATGGCTGTCTGAGAGGAGTCCACTTGGTGCAGAGGGCATCATGTGCTTTCTTTTGAGGACATGTTCAATTGTTTCTTGATACTTACTTTTAAATATAACTAGTGCAAATTCTGCCTCTTGCTTTGGTTTTATGCTATAAGTGGTAATGCAATTGTGCACAAATGTACATGTTGTATGGGGCTGATTGCATAAGTTGCATGGTAACATGGGTCAAAATCCCAATACAAAAGATATCCCTACTTTGACGCCAATGCGGGAAACAACTTCTATATAATTCATGTCTTGTCAAGATTTAAAAATTATGAATTGTAAAGATTTAAATATTTGAGTGTTTATCTGAAGAAGGAGCTTCCTAGTACGCTGCATCATGCAGCTAGTGCTCAAATTCTGCTAGTTAAGACTTATAAGTCCAAGAAGGGTTGAAGGTGGAGCTGAAAAGATGCATTGTTCTCAATGAGGACCATTTTTATTGTTTGTTGAAAGAAGGTCACGTCTTTTGAGATTGTTGAGATTTAGAACTTAGTTATGAAAATTCTGAACATGCAAGGAGCTGGTCATAATGGAATATCATCATTTCTACTTGATGTTCTTCTGCCCATCATTAAACTCATTTAGGTAATTAAATGCAGTAGTACTGCATGAGAATACCAGATTGAATTGGATATACGCGAAATCGTAAGCATTTAGTGTATTTTCTCTTTATAACTGCTTAAGCATCAATTAGTTGGGTCATGATGTCAATTTCTAGTTTCTTGATTTCAGTATTCTTCATGTGTGAATATGAACTTTCTCTTCATACATATGTCGTGAACTTGATATCGTTGCTTCACATTTCAGCATTCAGCACTGTGGTCTCTATCAAAACCATGAATTCTTTAGGTGTAACTTATAAGAATCAATATTCTGTGGGCTGATTTGGAAAAGGGATTTGACCATTACAAATTAGCTTTAATATTACTTTTGCTTATACTTGATATAGACTTTCAGTTTATAATGCGTAATAATTAATATATTTGGAGATTGGTATTCAAGAAATGTGGCATTTTCAATATATGCTCCTCTTCAATACATTTTTTATGCACAACATTTCTTTCTGTTGTTGCAGAACTAAACTTTGTGGAGTGTGGACGAAGAAAAGAGATGTATCTATCCATAGCTCTTTGCAACTGCTACAACTAGACGAGGTAAAAGCACTTTCTTCTCTCTTGTTATGGTGAAAGCACTTGCTTGCCTTCTACTGTAACAGTCGTTTTTTACTTGGTTGCTTCATTGTGTTTACATTCGTACTTTGCATGGTTGGCTATGAAATGACTTTCTAGAATTAATATCGACGTTTTCACATTCATTGTCATTTTTGGGATGACCGAATTCGGGCATGTTCTACATTTTGATATAGGGTACCATGCATATGTAACATCTAAGTTTTAAAGCGTTTTGTGAATTTTCGGGAGCCTGGTTTCTGCTGTTATGTAGCAAGTTTGTGGGTTGGGGCACCATGCATACGTATGCCATATTTATGTTGAAAACTGTCATTCTCGACATTTGCCTCCTGTTATTCTCGACAATTGGCTGAACCCCGACAGATGAATTGTCGTTTCCGATAGTTAGTTACGGTCATTCTC